ATTTTTCTCCGCAATCATTTTATTTAATTTAAAAAAATAAAAGTAAATAAACTATTACAACAATGCAATGAATAAAATTATTATTTATGACAGAAAACTAAAACGGTAAAATAACCAGTTTTACAAATAAAATTCGGTTTTAGCACCTATTTGCGTTCATAAATTTTAGTTTTGAACGAAAAATTTGTAAAGGACATTTAGTCTTCAATTTTTTTTTTAGGCGAGCGTACCTTTTTTCATATGAAAATGCCATTTCCTTTATGTAAATGCCGAATAAAAAACTGAATATTAAACAATTCGTAACGTTGACTCGTATGCAACTAATTAAACGATGAACTAAAGCGCCACACACAAGTGCGGCCAATGCGTGAACACGATAGGAAATTATTTAATGCTCGAAAGCTACTCATAGCGACATCTGTTGAACTTTTCGATGCTCGTCTAAACATACACTTCGTCGTAACACAGGGTGTACTTTATTGAAGTCACTTTGGATTTTATGAGAGCTCGCTTGCTCGCAAAATAGAACCATTTTATGGCCATTTCTTCGATAAACATACCTACACAATAATAATAATAATCATTCTTTATTGCCCAACAGGAGCAACCCCAATAATAGGACAAAATAAAAACTTAAACTAAGTACATTCTTTACACTATATGTAATAAAATAATATAAACATTAGTACCTACAAAAACAAGTTCATTGTAAATATAGTAATATTAATTTATTATTTTATTACTTATTAACTTGATCTACATAATACAAATAAATCAATAAAATAAATAAATAAATACTTCTCCTAAAATAAATATTCGAGTTTTATCTAATAATAATTGTTCTATTTTTTCTGCTTGCCCACCCCTTGCCTTAGTTACCTTATCTTCCGTACTTTCATCCAGTCCAGTCTTCTTCCATCCTCGTTTACCACTTCTTTCCTACTTTCCTCCGATTCTCTCCATCCTTCACATTTTTCCAGCATATGTTCTATTGTTTCTCCCTCTATCCAACATATCCTACACCTTCTCTTAGTTTCATCCATCCAAAAATTATTCTCTTTCTCTTCATTTCCACACCTAAATCTTACCATCATTCTTTTCTCCTCTATACTCTCTCTCTGTGTACTTTGGTACTTCATCTTTTACTATTTTTCTATACTCTGCATTATATCTAGACTCCGTTATTCTCGATCTGCGTTCTTGCTTATCTATATCCTTATCTCTTACACTCAGTTCTTCTTTCATACTCCTCCCCATTTCTCTCATTCTCCCTATTTCTTCACATGCTTCTCCCTTCCTTTCTAATTTCTTTCCAACATTCTTGCAATATTTTACAATCACCTCTCTCACTGAACTTCTTTTCAAATCCAACCGCCATTTTACCCGCTTCCACTCTTATTTTCTCCCTTTTTGTTTCTTCTCTCACTATATACCCCGGCGTATACTTTTCCAATCCCAATGTCCATTTTAATTATTTTTCTGGCATTCTCCCTATTTCTTCATATTCCCTCCATCCACAAATCTCAGCTCCGTATGTAAATACACTTTTGATCAAACTATCAAACATCATCATTCTTCTCTTATAATCATGTCCAAATTTTTTCTCTCCTATTCCGCATACTATTCCTATAACTTTGGTCGCTTTTCGGACCATTTCTTGAATATGCGCTCTATCTGAGTTATTGCTCTTTAATGTATATCCTAAGTACTGGAATTCCTTCACCTGTTCAATCTCCTTCTCTCTCCGTACCCACTCTTTTTTCTCCTTTCTTATTTTCTTCCCAAACACCACAATTTTTGTTTTTTCCACATTCACTTCCAATTCCTTTTTTTGTACGTACTTCACGAAACTTTTAATCATTGTTTTCATTTCTTCTCTTTTCTTTGCCACAATCACCAAATCATCTGCGTACGCCAACGACCACACTTCCTCTTTGCCCACTACCACCCCTCCTGTCTGTGTTTTTGCTGCAAACAATGCGGGGCTGAGTGGGCATCCCTGTCTCACTCCTCTATTTGTATAAAAACTCTCGCTCTCTATTCCATTCACTCTCACCTTACTTACTTTTTCTTCATATATTTCTTCTGAACGTTCGTAGATACAAGAAAATTGTTAAAATTTTTCAGAAACGTCACTTTTGAAGTGTTTTCTTGTAGCTTTAAGCCAACCAGAAACCCCACGGGCTCGGAAAGAGCAACGAAACCATCAAAGTTTAGCTAGAAACAGTATTTTTGTCGATTTTTACTAAATCTGAACTATATTTCAACATTTTTTGATGAATCTAAGCGACGAAACACACTTAAAGCATGCAGAATCGTCTCAGATTAGGAAAAGGAGACGTTTGGGTCAATTTTATGCATTCTGGCGTTCGTAGATACAAGAAAATTGTTAAAATTCTTCAGAAACGTCACTTTTGAAGTGTTTTCTTGTAGTTTTAAGCCAATCAGAAACCCTACGGGCTCGGAAAGAGCAACGAAACCGTCAAATTTTAGCTAAAAACAGTATTTTTGTCGATTTTTATTAAATCTGAACTATATTTCAACATTTTTTGATGATTTTGAGCGACGAAACACACTTAGAGCATGCAGAATCGTCACAGATTAGGAAAAGGAGACGTTTGGGTCAATTTTATGCATTCTGGTGTTCATAGATTCAAGAAAATTGTTAAAATTCTTCAGAAACGTCGTTACCAGATAAGCATCTACTCTCTTTCTCCACAAATACTCACACATTTTCTCTCTATTCACGCTATCAAACGTACCTAACCGTCTGGTAACATACCCCTTGCTTCCATCTCCTTTCGTAACCTCTTATCTAGTATAATTGCGTATATCTTGTACGCCGTATTAAGCAAGGTGATTCCTCGGTAGTTCTTCACATCACTTTTTTGCCCCTTTTTGAATAATGGGATTATTATACCTTCTCTCCACCGCCTAGGAAACCCTTTTCCCTTCCAAACTCCATCTACCACTTCCCATATCCTTTCTTTGACTCATTCTTTCCCGAACATACACGCTTCGTTCTAGATTTCATCCCCTCCAGGTGCCTTTCCTCTTTTCCTCTTTTCAGTCTTTCAATCTGTCTTCCTATTTCATCTTCTGTTATTTCCGAACCTCTTCACATTTCTTCCGTCGTTGTGATTCCTTTATTTATTTTACAGCATTTTTCCTCCCACCCTCGCAATAATTCCTTAAAGCGTCTTTTCCATTCATGTATTCTGATTTTCCTATACTTAGAATTCAGTCTTCTTTCTCCGTTCCTTGTTTATATATCTCCATACTTCTTCTTCTGTTTACAGGGTCTCTCATTTTTCCTATAATTCTCTCTTGCTTTTCAGTACTCTTCTTTCCTTCCCCTGTTATTCTTCCATTTTCTTAATTTTTCCCTTGCTTTTCTCTTCAACTCACTACATTCTCCGTTCCATCCATTATTCCTCCTTTGCCGTATGTATATCTTTCTTTTTTCCGTAGCTTCTACAATTAAGTTGATCAGTTCTGCTATCATAGCTTCTATATCTTCTTTTACTTCGAATTTCGTTTTTTCTAGTCTACTTCTGTATCATTGTATTCCCTCTTCATCCCATATTCTTTTTTCTATTTCTTTTCTTTCGTTTCTTCTCTCTTGTTTTTCGTACTCTTGCTATTTTCCTTTGATTTTTATTTCTAGTGGCATGGCTGATTCTACCCTTTCATTGTAAATATATGTCTACTCAAAGTACTATCCTAATTAACTAAATTTTCTCAAAAAATATATCAATATATACAGGATGTTTATTTTATCTGTTTACGCTTGACAATTTTTGCATAGGCAACATATTATACACCCCAGAGACGACTTCGTCCAATTTATTTTTTTTAATAAGCAATCATAACAATCACAGAAAAAAAATGACAGCGATGTCAAGTAATGACAAAATTGAAAAAATTAATAGGTAGGTACTCAATTTATTAATGGATCACATTACAACGAAAACGAATTTATAATAAACGTTCAAAATGCCTGCCTCCACTATCTTCACAAAGTTCTATCCTACACTCAAAATTTCTACGAAGTCTATCTAACATATACATATACAATATAGAATATACGATAGGGACAAATTAAAGCGGAAGCGCCATCACTTTGAAAACAAATTATTCTTCGTATGTCTAGCTCTATGTTTTCTAAAAGTTTAGGTAAAATATTCTTTCAAACATTTAGATACATAGGTCCGTTTAAATCTGATTCAAAAAAATGTGGACCAATGACGTGGTTACCAACAATTTCACACCAAGTATTAACTTTGAAAACTTCTTGGAAGTGCTTTTCCTGATACCAATGGGGATTTTGCTGGGCTTACTAATGTGAGTTCTAATGCTTCAAGAAAAATTTCATAGCTGTCAGCAGAAATATCAGGTGGGATATATGCAGCAACCAGAAAGAATGAAGTTTTACCAATATAACATTTGTAAATTATAAAATCTAATGGTGACACTAAATTTGCTATACTATCAATGTGCAGGTATTCAGATGTAATTTTCTTAGATAGAGTAACAATAACACCTCCACGATCAGATTTACCAGTTGATTTAAAATTTCTGTCACATCGAAGAACAGTATAATTAGAAGGAAACAATTCGCCATCTGTAATTGAGTCATTGAACTAAGATTCAGTTACAACAATTATGTCATAAAATAAATGTAGCCTTTTAGACGTTTTTTTAATTCCTTTTTTTTTGTCGATGAATTACTGTCAAAGAAAAACATCTACACTTACTTTGACCATTTGATTGTGATAATTAAATGTTCAAATTTTCGTTTTCTTCAAATTACGGTTATCACTTTACCAGTAATCTTTTTTCTAATTATCTTCGTCAGAATTCCTCATTAACATTTTTCAGTCACACTTAAAACGAAAAAACCAAATTATGACTTTATCTTTAACCACATTCAATTAAGGCACCCAATTCGTAAGCAGTTTTTATTTATAAACACCACAACACATTATTGCACCTACAAATTAGTACTGATAAACGCTTATATCAAAATTTCTGCTAGTCAGCTCTTCATCGATCCACCTTCTAAACAAATTTACATTCACATAGACGCCAGGAATCATAAGATGGCCGCATCCAATACCCCATGCCACAATTCCAACTTGAACATACTTCTCTGGGTATCCCTCAATGGGACAAACCAAGGGACTACCTCCGTCACCAGTACACGCATCTTTTCCTTCTTCACCTCCAGCGCAAACGAAGCTTTCGTCCAGGTTAAAATATTTCCCCAACCTGGTATTCCTCAAGTACTCCTGACATGTATCGCTTGGTACCACCGGCAAATCAACCTTCTTGAGAATCACCTGATACATGTCTTCCTTACCAAAATTATTCTTCCCCCATCCGGTTGTAAAACACCTGCTGTCATTCACAATTAGATCAGGGGGTGGCAAACACACGACGCCGATGTGGGGGGCCACGTCCACTGGAGTCTCCAGGAACAGTAAAGCGATGTCGTTGAATAAAGGTCCAGGTTGAAATTTTGGATGGATCATCACGTCTGCCACGTCCCTTCAAACAAGCCTTATGACAATTACAGATGAACAAGCTGTTAAGTTACTTTACCTGTCCTGGAACGGGTACTGCTCCTTTTTGGTTTGCGTATCCCATTCTCCTGCTCGAATTTTGAGGTTGTCTTTGTCTATGACGCAATGGGCGGCTGTTAGGACGACTTGGGGGTGGATTAAGGCACCGCCGCACTGATAAACCGGGATACTTTTTTCGTCCAGTGCTATTCTGTGAAAGACGGCTATCATCCAAGGGAATTCTCCAAATTCTGCTTCTCCGTTGGTGGCACCTTTGATTTTGAAACCGACTCCTTTGGAGTTACGGAAGCCGCAACCTGTTGGCGAGGGTGGTAAGCGGGCGGGCGGTGGTTTTACTTCACCATTGGGGCAGCATTGTTCTAGATAAGATCCGCAGTCGTTTATTCTGAAACAAGAACAAAGCTGTTAATGTTTAAGTTAATTTATACTCAGGAAGTAACAAAAGGGTTTCCTTTTTTCCTTTTTAATGAAACTGCATCTTGAGTGTAAGCTAGGAAATCCTATAATAGGCGCCATTAGACTAATTTCATGTTTTTGGACGTTTCATAACTCTTAAGTGTATGAAAAAGTAGGTCGTCCATTTTCATCTGCTTCCACATTGTTGATGATTTTATTGGACCAATAATCTTCTAAACTACTAGACTGATTGTTAGATTTTGGGTGTGTTTTAGGAATATTGTGTAGAAAATAAAATGATAACCAACAATTTTACAAAATAAATCCTATTTCAGTTTTTAAAATAATATGGTTCTATACTTGTCGCTTATTAATCCGCCCTTATGTTTGAGTTTAGACGTCTAGATTTTTAGGAAAACAATGAAAATTTTAAAAGAACATTTTACAATTTAAAATTTAATTTAGAAATTATAAAAAGGAATGTTCTCATTTCTTGCAAATATTTAAGGTTGTCGCAAATAAGGTATACTAAATTATTTTATTGTGTAATGAAAAAACTCATTTTAAACATAAGTTTAGCATGCTTCTTGATCGTTACTTTAACACTACGTATATAATTTTATTTTAGATAATAGGGATTAACATAAAAAAATAATAAAATGTGGATCTGTATTTAAGTTAACATAGCTTCTACGATTTTTGAAGCTCAAAATTTCTTCCACATTGTAATGTTCCACTAAAAATCGTCCTAATAAATGACTGACTAGGATTTTATAACTAAACTTTTTAAAAATTGGAAAAACGTTGCTGTATTATTCTTTTTTTAAGTATCTTACACTATGATAAAAAAATTAATTGCGTTTATATTTACCTTACATCAATAATTCCTTCTCCGTTAGTGTTGAGCGTTTTATTTGGGCACAAATAATAATTCACACACTCGCAGGGATCTGATGTTGAACTGCTTTCTACTGCAATCAATGATTGGGTTGCATCTTCTAATTTGGGCGAATCTGTTGAGGAATCTGTGTCACCCCAAAGAGACAGAATTGCATCATCAATGATACTTGAGTTTATTTGCGACTGGACAACTTGACAGAAAATAAATAATAAAAGTGTTATACTTTTTGCAACCATTGTTTTTCTAATTAATGTAATTTTCTTAGGTAGAGACGGAAAAGTCGGAAAGTTGAAGCCAGTCTTAATAGTTTCTCATTTTGTTGGTGTATGCACATTAGAACTCACTAAACCATATTGAATACAAAACCAATGACCAGGTAAAGTGATTTAGTTGTAATTACTGTCGATCTTATCTACGTTATAGGCCAAATTCGATGATATTTCTGCACCGAAAAGCAGTGTTTGCCTTTTGTTTTTAAATTTGTATTAAGTCAGTTTAATTGTATATATAAAAGATTTTTTTTTTATAATAAGAAGGAAAGAATATTTGAAACAATATTACACAGTGATTTAAAATATAGTAGTATAGTATTTAGTAACGATTAACCTTTTTATTATTACACACAAATATAAATTAAATTCAGACAGATGTTTTTTTTATATGAATTTGGCTACATGGGTTGCTACATTGACAAACTTCATGGGGATTTTTAAACGGGGAATCAGAGAATTAATTTTTTGGGTTACAATAAATGTTCATCTCTGCGCCAATAAATATTCATTGTTTGAGTGCTTTTTCAATAAAATTTTAGTTATAATGTATAAACTACAGTAGCGGTCATTTCTACGGAACCACTCGATAAAAAGTCAAGTTGGTAGCCCTGTCATCTAGTACTTTACGCCGAACGCGGTTGGTAGCGGTAGTTGATATGGCAATCGAAACTAGAACAACACGAATGTTTCGGTTGCCTTTAGCTATGCCGCACTGTATCCCGTGCAGACTGTATGTTCTGTTCATCTATTTATTAAAATAAAATATCTACATTAACAATGGGGCCATCTAACCTGTCAAATTTTTGACACATATGTTTCCCCCAGAAACCCGTCAAGGTCACTCACACCAAACAAATTTTGAAAATTTACACTAGGGAGTGGTTCTATAGAAAAGATCGCGACTTTAAAACCTAAGTTGAATATTACACGAAGATAAAAATGAAGCTCGTATGAGCAACTAATTTTGGAATATCCAGTATATTTCTGATGAGAATAACTCCATAATGTTGGACAACTACATATAAACTTATAAGTTCATACTGTTACGAAATAAACCCATACGCCGCGCCGCCCCGGTACGACACCTATGGGTTCCCGAGTTTTCTGGTATTTACGGCGATAATGAGTAATGACGCATCGTGGATGACGTCACCCAGACTCCCAGACAGGGCTCGCACAAAGGCAGGCCTCGAGAGGATTACCGGAAGTCTCGATTGCGGTGTCCAGAAAAACGCTCGAAGCGGTGTTCGCTAAAGAAAGGCCTAGAAACGAAGTCGCGATGGATTCCAGAAAGACCTCGATTGGGAAACATCGAGAAGGGAATACGAGTTTAAATAGAGGCCACCGTCGGGAACGGTTTATTCAGTCGAACCACGAGTCCAGCGAGTGTTAAGAAGAGCCAGCCAAATTGCACCGGAAATAGTTTGTATATAATTGCTGTAATAGTTAGTCGTGTATATTCGAGTTAGTAAAGAATAAATTGTTGAGTTTTACCCACTCCAATTTTAATTCGCATCGAGCAACGTAACAATACTGTAGGTTAAAATCTTGGCAAAGGAGGTGCAGCAATATTTATACCAAGGTTAGTTAATAGAGAATATCTATTAAATGACTTTGTATTTATACAATCTTCTCCTCTAGGACACTTTTTTAATAGAAATCATACATATTGCAGAATTTACAGTTGGAGTCCAGTCAAAAATTTTAAATTTAATTATTGTTGTATGTACAGGTCTCTTGCGGGTGATTTTACAATTTTTTATGAGCGTTATAAATACATTATTTGATTTAATATGTGATTCTTCACGATATATTATCATAACTGGTGATTATAATGTGATTTTTAAACAGAAAAATACAAGAGAATTTTTAGACTTGTCTACCTTCTATAATTTTGCTCACACTGCATGTCTATGTACATCAATGCACTCGTCAAAAAGCCTTGTTAGACAACTATTTAATTAACTTGGAAGAAGACTGAGTGACATTCAAAATTTTAATATATCAAATCACAATGGAGGTATTGTTCTTAGATTAACACACTGTCTTTGTAGTATTCTTATGAAAAGAAAAATTGTGCGCCTAATTACTAAGATGGATCATTTTTATTACTATCCAGATGTAGAACAAATCGATTGGTCTTTTATACATAACAAAATTTATTAAATTATTAATGGTAAATTGTGAAAACTACAGGCCTATTTGTTTATTGTCTAACTTCGCAAAAATTTTTGAGTCAGTTTTATATGAATATATTTTATTCCTCAATTACCTCCTGTATGTCAACTTTACAACATGGGTTTGTTAGAAAAAGATCTACAATCAGTACAATCACCAATCTGGCTTGTTTTAATCAATGTGTCTCAGAACTATTCGATAACAGAAGTCAGGTTGATGTAATTTATAATGATTTTCAGAAGGCTTTCGGTACAATAGAAACTAATTTGATCGAAAAACAGTAGCTGTAAGATATCGCAATCACTATTCTTCTCCATTTCGGAGTCCCACAGGGTTCGAACTTAGGACCATTATAATTTTTAATCTTTATAAATGATATAGTTGATGTGCTATCTTCAGAAAAGTTATTATTTGTAGATGTTCTGAAGCTTTATACGGAAATCATTTCAACAGAAGATCTTGGCATTACTTTCGATTAAAAGTTAACTTTTGCTGATCACATTGGTGAAATTATGACCACATCGTTTAAAATGTACGGCTTCATATACAGAAACTGCAGAAACTTTATAATATGGATGCTCTATTTAAACTGTTCTTCGCTTTAGTTAGATCCGGTCTCGAATATGGCTCTCTGATCTGGTAAACCATTTATAAGGTGCACATAAACTACTATCTTCAAAATCACAATTATTCGCAGAGAGGGTACGACCAGTCGTTGCTACTTTCTAGATTCAACTTTAATTCTTTAAAGACACAGCCTGTGATTCTAACAATAAAATTTTTGGTTAATTAAACTTTTAATTTTGTTGTGCTAAGAATTAATTTGCGTCAGTCGTTTACATTTTATTGTGGTACTAGTAGAACCAATATTTTGCGAAAGTCACCTGCTTCTAATATGTGTAATTTGTTCAATATAATTGTTTTGTTGTGATATTCATTTTGATTCATGTCAGCATGTTTGTAATTGTGTTATTCTTAATTTTGTTATTTAGAATTGGTAATACGTTATAATTTGTTCATATATTAAGTATTAAGTATACTAATTTTAGTTCCAATTTTTATATACTTATTTTTATTTTTAGCGAACCACTTTAAAATATAATTTAAAACTTAATTGCTCTATTTTATGTTTCCTGCAATTGGGTTTTCCTGTTAGAAATAAACCAATTAATTTTATTATAACACAGACATAATGTCACAAAACTTAATAATGTCCTACTTATTTCCACGGCATCAAATGGCAAGATGTACTAAAAAAGGGAAATCGCAGGGATTTGTTCTTGGTCCCATTGTGTTCCTGTTTTATGCCAATGATATTGACAATGCTGTCAATGATGGAGAAATTGTACTTGATGCCAATGATAAAACTTTTTTAAAATATGATAGTACCAGGTTAACAGTTCTAGCAGATACTTAAACAAAATATATGCGTTCTGTTTGGTTTGCTGAACATAATTTACTATTAAATAAGTCAAAGACAAAACCATATTATTCTTTTTTAAAAAGTATGTGGTCTTAAATATTGAAAATCCATAATCTAAACATTTTTTAGGAGTACACACCTTAATACTGATCTATTGTGGCATCATCATGTGGAGTACGTCATTAAAAACGTAGGAAATAGTAATTTGATAATAAATATTGTTTTATGGTTCCATTGTAGGCAATATTATCCAAATTTCTTATAATAAGGTACTACTTAAAATAGTTCACTCGATTTTGTACTTTTGTTAGTCTTAATTTTTTACACAGATCCGAATTAATTCTTGTGTTGTAATTATAGAGCTGTTTATGCAATAGTAGTGACTCAGGTTTTTTTTTAATATAGACTAAATATGTTAATGTGATCGCCCTTTGTAAGTGATATGCTGGAATGTCGAAATTAATAGTGCACAAGTGAGATATGATTCACAGAGTGCAAAATAAGCTGTTTGAAGAACACTCAGTGGTAGGTGATATGTTAAGTTTCTTAACACAAAGATATTTTCATTTATTTTTACAGCAAGATCTATGTGGACATTCTAACATAGTTTAGAATCTAGATGAACACCTAGAAATTTAAACATGATTTTAGTCGATTTTTTCAAATTTAATACAAGTTGATTTTTGTTAAATCAGTCCAGAGCCTTCAATTGTAAATGATCAGTCGTAGCAATTGTTGACTGTGAAGTACTTGCTTTGTCAAAAATGGTCGTGTTATCTGCTTATAATATAGTGTCTGCCATGGTACCAGAAGACAAATACTATAAACAAAAGTGGACCTAATATTGATCCCTGTGGAACATCTCGCTTTACAAGTAGAGGACTAGATTTTTTATTATTGAATTTTTCTAACTGTCTTCTCTAATTTAAATACTGTGTTAAATGAAACCGAAGCTATTTGTTCCTCTTCCAGGCTTATCATGCTCAATTGCCATTGTTGGTAAGTAGCCTTTTCTAAAGCAAAATTCAGATCCTACAAGTAATTTATGATTTTCCAGGTAACGACTTAATTGGTTATACAATAAAAATCTTTTCTAAGATTTTAGCCATTATAGGAAGGAGTGCTATTGGCCGCAAATTATAAGGATTGTTAACATCGCCTTTTTTATGTAAAGCTCTACGTAATCTTGTGTCAAAAAATATTCTTTTTGCGGTTTATTATGCTCATGTATGTACTGTACACGCTAAATTGACCTATATCATTCTCGTCTGTAGTCCGAATAATATGTAACCCAAGTTTCCTAGCTGACTGCAAACACTGTTTTAGGGAATTATTAGTTATGAACTTGTGATTATGACATTACCATGTTGCTATATTTTATCCTCCTTGTTATATGCAAAATGTCATGGAGAAAATTATCCCACACGTGGAGAAATACGCTTATTGTGGCCTAGAAATCAAAAACAATTACATATTGACCTAAATCGATTAGAAGAACGGGATTTAGTATTGTTACGAAATAAACTCATACGCCGCCCCAGTACGACGCCTATGTGCCGTCGAGAGCTTTCTAGTATGTGCGGCGATGGTGGGTGAGTCATCAGTCACCAGGCGGCGGTCAATAAAGACAAGTCGATCCATCGAGAGAAACGTATAGGTTTAAATAGAGGCCACCGTTGGAAACGATTATTATTCAGTCTCAGTCGAGTCGAATCCAGCGAATGTTGAGATAAGCCAGCCAAGTTGCACCGGAATTATTTAGTACATAATCGTGTAATTAGATGTGTAAATTTGAGTTACTAAGAAATAAATTGTTGACTTTAACCCACGCCGATTTTAAATACCCGTACAACGTAACAGTATCACCTATTGGGGTTCTAAATTCTATAATAAATTGTCATCATCCATAAAATTCCCGAATTTAATAGAATTTACAAAGTAGTATCTGAGATCCTTGATACTAAAAACACAAACATACCATTATTATTATTGTTACTATTATATTACGTAATTTAACCAACTAGAAAATTGATTGTCCAAGTTTAATTCTATCTGCAGATGAATAAAGAAATGAAATTAGAAACATTATCAACACAATAATGTCACGGAGCTGTCCAGCTTTAAAACTAATAAACGCTTTTTAAGACTGTAAAAATTTAGATTCGAGGAAGGAGATTAAATTAAACTACAAATTTCTGAGTATCGTAAAACATGGTTAACACAAAGGTTAAACTTTTAAACACTGAAAACATTGTGGTTTGGATTTGAAACTAAATGAGTAGAAAATCGTTTCATGCCTGGGAGTTAATTATGTTTGATATTACATGCTATAATTTCTTAAGATAATTGGGTTAATTAGTCGAATGTTTTTTACTTTAAACTTTATCATGTCTTTCACAGTAAATGGACTGAGTTCAGAGAAGACATTAGAACTTAATGTGTTGCAAATTACAGTTGTTTTGTAAAATAATACTGTATTAAAATGTTTGTTCTTACGAAAAACCAATAGACAAATGAACTGTTTGTGCTTCAAGGGAGAGGAAACTACTGTCTAAATAACTTTAAATCTATTGTTATTGATTGAAAAAACGTATTTTTCTGAATTCATTGTTTTAATTTTTTAAATCCACTGTATGAGAATCGTCTTTTGTTCCGTAAAATAAAAACGACAATTTAGTTAATATTCGTTTATTTTTGAAAATCATCGCATCAAACCTGATACTTGGCAAGATCCAAATTTTTCATTTTTAATTTCTCGTCGATCCAGTTCCTAAACAAAGGAACATTAACATAAAGCCCAGGAATTCTGTTACCGCCACACCCAATCCCCCCCGAAACCATCCCAATTTGAAAGAACCTATCCGTCCCGTTTTTAAACGGACAAACCAACGGACTCCCACCATCCCCTTTGCATGTATCCTTCCCAGGTTCACCCCCCGCGCAAACAAACGACTGATGCACCATAAAATACCTCCCCAAATTCGTTCTCCTCAAATCCGATTGGCACTGAACCCTGGATACCATAGGCAAATCGACCTTCGTCATAACTCCTTCCTTGCCAAAGCTCTCCCTTCCCCACCCGTTCGAGATGCACCTACCCATCTCCAACACGGTGTCGGCCGGGGGCAAACACACCACATTGATGTGTGCAGCCAAATCAACTTTTTTTTTCAAAAATAAAAGAGCTATGTCGTTTAACAGATGTTTGGCGTCATACCGAGAGTGAATGGTGGCAGAAGCGACCTCTCGGTCTTGGTGGGGGTACTTTTCGTTCTCGTTACGAGAGTCGTATTCTCCGGCCCGGATTTTTAGATCGCTTTTGATGTTTTTGAGGCAGTGAGCGGCGGTTAGGACGACTTCGGGATGGATGAGGGCACCGCCGCAGACGTAATTGATGCGGTTGGTGTCGTCGGTGTAGAAAATTGCCACGGTCCAAGGAAATTCGCCGTATTCGGCAAAACCTTCTTTGGGGATTGCTTGAGGCTTGAATTTACGGTAACCACAACCTTTTGGAGGAAGAGTATCTGGCTTGGTTTGGGGAGGCGGGGTGGTGTCGTCGAGATCGACGTCTACGAGGTCTTCTTCGTCGCAACACTTCAAAAGGTAGTGGGGGCACTCTGCGCGTACTGAGATTCTGTAATAATTTATAGCTGTGTAATAAGAAATTAGCTAAAATGATAATGATGAAGTTACCTTGCTTGTATAAGACCCCCTCCATACTTGTCTTGCTTCTTATTTGCCGTTACTCTGCCATCGCAGAGATAATAAGGTATGCATTCACACACTTCCGAGTTATCACTACTTGAGCTGGTTGTGGCGTAATTAATGTCATCTTCCATTCTGGTAGAAGTATCAAAGAAACCATCCCACATATCAGTGGTAGTAGGTGGACTACTAACGTCAAACAGCCCATCAAACACCCCATCAAACAAGTCATCTTGTGATAAACCCTTTTGCAGCAGCAAATACAGAATTAGTATTTTTGGAATCATGTCCAATTAAGTGAAACTAAAATAATTAAATTTTTGCTCAGGGTTCGTTGGTACAAAAGTACTTACGTTTTGTTGTTCGCAAATCTAGTGGCGTATACTAATTAACATACTGCTTCTGAACTTTTTCGTTGTTTGTCATTACCTTTGTTTTTGATAATTACTGGTTTTTGTAACTGGTAGGAGGCGGAGTGCTAATGATGGAAGAATTTAATTATAGTGGAATGGAATTTTTTCATTGAGCTGACGATTAGATTTCCGTAATGTGTTAGTTATAAACTGAACTGTTCATAAGCAAAACAAAATGTGTTTCAAATATTTTTGGTACGTGTTTTTTGGATATTGGCAGATAAATATTGCAATCGTCTATTAGTAACTCTATGTAATAAAAAATAAATGTCATTAAAAAATCGTTAGTAGAGATTGTACAATATAATTTATATTAATTAGTCTGTTAATTTTTTTTCTAGACATCCAGATTTTTGGAGAAAAAAATCAAAATTACAACACTTTGCAATTTAACTTTGAACTGTTCTGAAATTTTGGAAACATTTTAGGTTATCGTAAGTATGGTAAATCGTTAATCAAATATTTTTCGCTTATGTCCCTCTAAAATAATAATGACATGATTTTACAATTTTGTCCATTTAATTTATATTTACCAAATAACTATAAATTTTAGTGATTCCAAAAGCACTGTTTATTATTTAAATTCAATTCTCATCTTAATGACTCGGGTTTAATTTCTAAACTGAAATCAGTAGAAAGTAAAATGGTATGTACCACCCCATATTTTTTTTCATCTACTGAAGGTACTTTATCGTGCAAACTGGCCAACTTTAACCTTGAAGTTTTTTATTACTTTTTTATAAAATAAAAATTCAGTTTTTTCGTGAAGTTTTTTTAATGCATTTTTTAACATTTCACCCCATTTTTAAGGTTATTTTTTTTAAAGTTTTGGATTTCTAAAGATTTTGACCATGATTCCAGCAGATGTATATAGAAACCGGTGACTGAGATTTTTATAAAAAAATGAAAAAACCTAATTTGTTCTTTAAGATTATTTGAAACATGGTAAATCGTTAGTCAAAATTTTCCGTCATCTTACATTTTTGCTGAATTGCTTTAAATTTGTGAGTGTTTTTGGGAAAAAAACTGAGTATGAACTAATCAATCAGTCTTTTTCTATGCGTTGAGAACAAAAAATCAACCAAATTTCATTTTCTTTTAATAGCTGATGTTTGTGCTAGTCATCGAATTCGGTCGAAGTATAAACATAAACAGTCGAAGTTAAGCATATACTGAGAAACTGAAATTGACTACATTTTTCCCGTTAGTTATCTGCTTTAAAAATATTTCATATTTAAAGACGTAGGGGTTGATGGGATGTTAGTAACACCACTTCATAAAGGTTAATATTTATCACAAACGAAAATCGCAGAATCTAATTTTATAATTTCTTAAAGAAGCGGAATTTTTCGGATCATACTTCAAAAGCGAGGAAGTTCTGTCAAAATAACCTTCCACATTTTTTACTAGCTTTGTTTTTCTTGGTAGCGTCATCAGAATTCCAAAAACAACATAATTTTTCCAAAACGCCAATGTCGCCAACAAAACTGAAAATAATAATAGAATTTGAACATTTTTGTGCGACAAGAGGATATGTTCTTCAAACAAATACAACTCCATCGGAACTTAAGGCACAGTTTTAATAACAAGGGAATCATCAGATGGTAAAAATACCTAACAAATAGAACACATACATTTTCGAAAAAGAAGCAATCTTCAATAAAATACATAAGATGTTACAGAGGAGTCTGCGCAGACTCTGACCATTTTCTGGTGATAGCATAAGTAAAAAAAAAATAATAAACAGGGCAAAAGAACATAAAAATGCGTCATCAAAATGGAACAACACGATGTTATAAAATCCAACACATAGAAATCGAGAAAGAAAATGGGAAGAACAAAAAGTCACTGACGAAGACATTTATTAACGTGTGATAGAATCAAATTAAAACAATAGGCAAAGGTGGAAATGGACCCAAAAAAGAATGGTGCAAGGAAAAATGTCACGAAATATGTAGTTATATTTAAAGAAAGTCAATAGTAGCCAGAAATATACGGTTAAAAACTAAGAAAGAAGAAGGTTAGACAGGAATATAAAAATATGTATAAGAAAGGAAGGTAATAAAATAATAAGGCAAAGAAAAAGGGACTGTATAATCAACAAATTAAACAAATGGAAGAGGCAACAAAAATAAAAATACAAAAAACTTTTACAAGAAAACAAACGAACAACTCAAAATATATAAAGAAAAGACCAGCGGAATAAAAAAATAAACAAGTTGAGAACGAAGAACAATACAAGGAGGTATAAATAGACTACTTTAAATAGCTCCTGACAGAGAAAGAAGAAGATATAGAACCGATTGAAATGAATACAGAAGAACCAACTTTCGCGGAAATAAAAGAAATCATTAGAAGAAGTCACAACCTCACAACGGTCGAGTATTTGGGAAAAATGGAGCAAACATGGAACTGATAGTGATAAAATAAATGGGGGAAACAAATTGCACGAGCCGAGAAATTTGCTAATAAAACAGATACCTATCGTGAACCAAAAGTATACTTACTGAATAAAAAATATAGGACAAATAATCACAATTATTAAAAAGGCGATCACCAAAAATGCGAGAACTACCGAGGAATCACTTTGTTCAATGTCGCGTATAAAATCCTACCAACAGTATTAAAAAAAAAACTAACAAAAGCCACAAGGGAGAAAAGAAAATAGGCCAATACCAGAATGCAGACGCAATTTTTGTAATAATCAGATTATGGAAAGACTGCACGAATACAAAATCGACATCGAAATTCTGTTTATTAACTTTCAACAAGCAATTGACTTAATTGAGAAGATTATTTGTATTACGTTACGCATTCAGCATCAACAAAGAAAGACAAGGTGACTCATTTCCGGGAACACTGTTCAACTTAACACTGGAACAAGTGAGAAAAATTAAGAAAAGTAGTTTCAGAACAGAAGGAAGTCAAATTGTAGCATATAGAATACCGTGATGATATCGTTCTAGTAACTAAGGAAAAAGAAATAATGAAAAACTGAAAGAAATAGAAAAGAAAGGACAGAAAATGGGCCTAAGATAACCGAAGAGAAAATAAAAATAATGAGGGTTAGAAAAACAGCAGGAAATACAAAAATAAGACTTAATCAACATGAATTCGAGGAATAAGTCTAACAATGAATGGAAAGAATATAGTTGAAGAGATAAAATAACAACGATGCAGATGGCTAGGGCATGTATGGAGAGCAGAAAAAACAATTAATTCTGCAATATGCTATAATGGACCCCACGAAGAAGTGGAAGGATGAACTCGAAAAGGACCTTTAAGAGGCAGGAATAAGGATTTGAAAAGTAAAAGCAAAAAATAGGAACAATTAGAGAATGATAATCAAGAAAATATGTTACGAAGCGAGGAGTGATCCATCCCGGCATTAGCGATCTAAAATGTTTCACAGGAAACGGTAATACCTACTCTATTTGGAGTGTTTTAGCATAGACTGATCTCTTAAAAATGTGTTTCGTAAATAAGTTTTATTAATTACGTACTTTCTCTTAAGTAATTTTAGAAGTTAATTGACTTATTTCAGTTCATGGAACTGAGTAAACAGTGTTTGTAATATTTTTCGGGTAGGTAATAATGAAATTAGTTTAATAATACACAAATACAACTTCATTACGTGTTATCCATGCGAAGCCGGGCCGAGTTGCTAGTGGAAAATAAAATGAGTTTAGTGTTTAAGGGTTAGATAAAGTTCCATTTTAAATAAACGGTAAGTTAATGTATTGTGTAAACAGGGTACAAAGTAATGTACTTACAAAAAATATCGTGGATGCGCAGAGCTAGTTTTAAGAGCTTGATTATTACAAAATAAAAAATCGTTTTATGCTACATTTTATTTCTAAAGTGCTACACGTAAAAATTTTGTGCGAGCAAGTGGAAATATCACATAAAAGCAAGGCACATTTAAAGCCATGCTAAGAGTATTATTGATTACATCACATCACATTTTTGTAATTGCAGCTAGTACTATCATCTGATATTTGGTCCATCAAGCCCAAAGCTTTCACAATTACTATGAAAAAATAACAAAAATTTCAGTCTGATATAAGACCAAGAATAGTAACAAAGAAAATGCGTGATAATTTAGTTTTCGGCCGCAGCCAAAGCCAGAACAGTGAAGTTTACATCTTCTGCATCTCTTGCTATGAACTCACGGCAAACCTTGGCGGCATCCTTAAAAAAAAAAAACAAAATGTTGCCGTTTTAAACTCGTAGAAAAAAAATCGTCTTACCTCCAAAAAGCTTTCAGGTGTTGTAGATCCATGATTGATAGGAAATTCTTTGGATCCGTTCAATTCGTACAAATGACCGGCTTTTTCAACAAGGGCAAAGAAGTGGTTTTTGGCTTGGTCGTTGGGATTCACCTGGTACAAAAGTAATTCGATTTACCCCACACGTTGAGATAACAAGACAAAATTAACCTCAGTTTGCCCTTCCAGGGCCAGTTCTTGATGAGTACTCAGTAAATTGAAGGCCTCATGTTCAGACTTGAACAGCTTTTCCCCTTTTTCTTCTGGGGTCAAATCCTTGATGTCGTTTAGGAGTTTTTTAAACGGTCCATCTTCAAGGCCAACTCTATGTATAGATTAAATGTTCATACATAAGAATAAAAGATTTGCTTTTGAATAGTACTGTACTGTACAACATGAGATGATGAAATATTATTCATATGTATTTGAAAGGACTGTTTTAAAAATATTGAAATAAAAAAACTCAAAAACAGGTTTCAGAAGATTTTAAGCCAAATTTAGAACAAACGCAACGATCTGTAATAGATTTTTTTGATACCATGAGATCAATTGCATTAGCTTCAAATTTAATTAAACATTTTGTTGTACTTAAAAGTGAACCAGCTCAAAACTTAAATAAGTCTTAACTATAGGTATAACAATACAACTTACTCTCACAACATGATTGTTTTCTGAAAAATAATGACTTATGGATAAAACCACACCCCAATTACTAAAAACGTTGATTTTGACGAATTTTCCGAAATTCAAATGTTTTAACGTTTTCAAAAATTTTTGAAGGATTTTAGACAGTTTACTTCTACATTTTTTTGTATACGGCATTTATAAATTCGTAGTTACTGAAGAAAAACATTTTTGATGTCCAATTGTACTGTTTGTCATACAATTATTTACTGACGTTGCAGACCTTAGCAATTTGTAAATGAAACACCCTATATAGACTTTTGTGTATAATTTTCAGATACTAATAAGGGGGCAATCAATGAGATGAATTTAAAGATCAAGCACAAATTGTGAAAAATAATTTAGAAAATCCAAAAAAAAAAATAAAAAATTATGACAAATTTTTGTGATTTTTTTTTTATGCAAAATAAACTTACTTATCTGCGTTATTTGCCACAGAATGAATGAGCGCAACGGTTCCACACGTATTGGTGACACACTGCTTCATGAAAAAGAGGTCTGAGTCCAAAACTTGACCCTCTTCCTTCAATTTTTCAATTTGTTGTTCGGCATGTTGAAGAAACTAAAATGACAGTTGAATGACAACGCGTGCAAATATTAAATCAATACTTGATCAGTGCCTGGGCAAAGCAAAATTAACGCCAAAACGGGTTTAGGAATGTACGCCAGCGCGTCTTCGTCCAAGCCATACACATCGACAATGCTCCACTTCTTCGGAACTCCTAATAAATGAAGGAGCTGAAATGATATAGGTTTAAAGGATTTAAATATGTCAATAGGGGGAAATTGTTTTTTCTGTAAAATTTTGTGTGGATTACCTTGTTCATTACCTGCAAAAAAAATATATTAGCTGGATTTAATTCAAATTTTTGTGATTGCTTACATCGGGGTTAGCTTCAAGAGGTAGCAAAGACATGGTTTCTGGTGAGTTTTCTTTTGACGGAATGTTATTTTGTGGTGGAAATGAATCAGCAACTACTACCGGCTTTTATGCAATTTTAGGTTATGTCAAACGCGCATACGCCAACTATTTGATTATTGGAGAAAAAATTATGGAAGGGTGTTGGAATATAAGGAAAAGTCTGGAAGGTTGTGAAATTTGCGACATCTGTTGGTTATTTTAACAAATAAAATTTGAAACTGAAAAAGTAGACAAAAAGGTAGGTAGGTATGGTACTTTTTGCTCAGAAGTGTCTTGTTAGGGGAAACACATATAGGTAAACAACATTATTAATAAGTTTCAAGCGGTAACTGGAGGCGGACCGAAAAAACGCAAGAGAAAGATTAATTTTTTTGATAATTTTTTTTGGTGTTAGTTAACGTTTCAATTTGAGACTACATATAAGAATGAGTTCGATTTACCTATTATTGTTCACGAAAAATAAATATTTTACTCATTTGTCTCATTTGTCAGTTCGAAAGTTTAAAGGAAATTATTTTTATTGTTTCATTCTGATTCTGACTCATTCATTTTGTTTATCACTATGTAAGTATAAGCAGTTCTAAAAATATGAATTCAATGATAAATCACAAGTCGACACATCAAATTTTTGGAGGGGATAATAAAATATATTTTATTACGATAAGTTTAAAACGTCTGCAAGGTTTCCAAGCATTCGGTGTTGCAGATTCAAATTTAAATTGCAAAATGTCACATATTTTTAATTTTTTTTTCCAAAAATAAGGACATTTAGGCTAAAACCTCAACACGGATGCATAAACTACACGTGTAGGACTATGTTATTTTATACAATTTAAAACCCATTTACTATGTACAATTTTAAGGTGACGTCATCAGTGTCATCATATTATTAGCGGGGATGATTAGATAAAGTTTAGTTAGCGTTTAACATCTAACAGATATTCGTAATTTACATACAAAATTTGACTACAAACAAAAGCTAAAGTATAGTAATCGAATATATAGGACAAATGGTCACTTTTATGTTTTCTCGACGTTTTATGACCCCTACTACGAAAAAAGCAGTCTCCCGTTTCCGTCTGTCTGTCTGTCTGTCTGTCTTGTGCGCCGTCTGTCCGGATTTTTATTAGACAGATAATTTCCGAAACTACTGGACCGATTGCTGCCAAATTTTGTTTTGTTTTGTTTCTGCATTTTAGATATGATTTATTCGGTAAACTTTTGAGGTGACGTCACCAATTTTTTGGAGGGACAAGTAAATATATTTTGAATAAAAACTTATCAGCCTTATCATAATTGTAAACCTTCTGCAAGATTTCAAAGCATTCAGTTTTGCAGATTCCGAATTAAATGCCAAAATGTTGTTTCCTAAGTTTAATTTTTTTTCCAAAAATCTGGACGTTTCGGGTAAAATCTCAATTCGGAGTCATAAAGTACATGTGTAAGACTATGTTATTTGATACAATTTAGAGCCCATTTACTATGTACAATTTTGAAGTGATGTCATCACATTAGTGATGGGGATGATTGGACAAATTTTATACCCAATATACATACAAAATTTGGCAGCAATTGGTCCAGTAGTTTCGGAGATTATCTGTCTAATAATAATCCGGACAGACGGCGTACAAGACAGACAGACAGACGGCGTACAAGACAGACAGACAGACGGAAACAGGAGACCTATTTCTTCGTACTCTAGGGGTCATGAAAGGTCGAGAAAATGTAAAAGTAGAGAGTCGGTTGATGGACTCGATTACACTACTTTCTTCGTTTACGATCGGGAAGTAAAAATTGTCGATGAATTGGGATAACAACGTTCACAAACTATAAAGTTTTTTTTTAATTATGAAAACGTGATACTATTTTAAAATTAATTGAGAATATTTAGAAAATACAGTTTATCTTCGCATATCTAATGAAGAATTAGAAAAACTTAATGAAATTTTGTGTAGCTGTGTTTCTAAAACATTTATCTTTATAACCATTTGGCGTTTTTTCACTTTGCAATCAAAATGATATTGTAATTTAAATACACCTATAAAAATTTTCAATACTGGTAAGAGGTTCTTCTAATTTCTAAGTTAGGGATTAAGTGAGTTAGTTGTAAAATATTTTAACTCGTTTTGATCAGTAGAGTAGCACAAATCTAAAAACCTGAAGTAAGTATATGTATGTACTCGTATATAAGTATAGATGCATTAAAACGACAATATCTAAGTGTTTAATTAATTTACCACTAAATAATTTCATAGCGTTTAACTGTTTTTTCAAAATTAAGAGAAAAATCTTCAGCAATATATTTTATTTTACTATATTTAAACAGAAATCAGTTTCTTTTTAAAGTTGCATTCTTATTATTATTAGAGTTCTGTTCTTATAGACTGTTTAATAGATATTGCAGCCATTGGTCTTGCATTCTGCACATTTCATATTTTGCACAGAGATTGTGCTATTTTTCTCAAGTTCTTTTTCAATTAGAGCTGCCACCACAATATCGCACATACCTTCGGGTACACAACCTTTAACCATAAAGTCCGTAGCACGTCTGTCTAGAAAATGTAAAACATAACTTTTAGAATCAAAAAACAGTACTTTCTTACTTGTGGTTACAACCATTTTAAAACATCTTAGATCAAAATCTAAACCACTGTTGTCTAAGTTATATTTCTTTCCAACTTTAGCCAAGTAACTGTTGCACTCTTCGTAATAGACAGGTCTTCTTACAACAGACAATGGAATTGTGCCATCGTCCGTGTAACAACTTAAACTGAAAACTAAAACAGTACGTTCATTATTTTGTTAATAAAAATAAGTAACAGAATTTATCTCACCAGACTCCGCCAACAAGAAAACCACAAGTGTCCCAATGAAGCACTTCATTTTGAGTTCCTACAAGATGTATGATGTTGTTCTTATTTCCTCGGGTTTTTATAGGTGCTCTTGCATAATTTGTTATCTGAACGTCACCGGATTTTCTAAATGCATCGACCTAAATGTTAAATTTGTTTTTCATATCGAAAAACCCAGTTTTATCGCAAAAATATTGACTTGAACTTCCGCAAAATATTAATTTAAATCAATTACAATAGTTTTTTACTTTTTCAGCGGAATTCATTTTTGAGTCACATTATATCAGTAATTCTAAAAACTATGAGTGGACCGTATAGAGTCAAAATTTTAATATAACGTCATTAATTTTTTGGGAGGGTAAAAACGAATAAATTTTGATTAACTTCGACCAATTTTTAAAACCAAAGCTGGGGGTTGAGTTAGAATTATTGTCAAACTCTTTGTTTTTTCGTATAGGGCTCTACTTTTTTTTCCGGAAGCAGCTTCTCCGCTTTGTGAACGATTCTTTAACATTCATTTTTGTAAGGAAGCAAAAAAAATCAAAAGTTGTCAAAAGTGGCGTCAACATTTGGCCATTTTTGAAAACAGAGTTTTTATTATTTAAACGTAGTGTGCATAGTTTATAGTCTAACCCTCTTAGTAAAAAAATCACACTTGCTTAAATGGAAAAAGGAGCAATTCTCTTTATTGACAACAATAATTCAACAACAAAAATCGATTTCCAATACAAATTTATCTCAACACAGTTTTTTTTTAAATAATTCAATACGCATTACAACGTTCTCCATCACACTCTGCACACTTCAGCTTTGTGATGGTAACACCTTGCACCTTGGCTTCTCTTTTAATAGTCGGTGTCACGAATTGGTCACATTTTCCTTTTGGCACACAGCCCTTCACCACGAAGTTGGTGGACGGATCATCTAGCCAAAAATAAAATGAAAACTTTTTGAATATTAAAAAAAACTTAGTAATACCTGTAGTCACCCTCGCAGTGTAGCAGCTGGCAGAAGTTGAAAGACTCCTCAGTTCCTCGTGTTTTTCATTTTCAAAGAACTTTGGCATGATGTTATTCAGATAGGCGTCACAGTTCTGAGCCGAATGAACGACTTCTCTGGTGTTAATCAGTTTGTCAAGATTGGTTACTTGACAGTATAGGCTGGAACCTAAAACATATTGTTTCATTTTGGTTGAAAAAAAATTAGTTTCGTACCGCATCTGAAAGATGTTAAAATAAGGACCGAGAAAATTAAGAACTTCAACATCGTGGATGGATTTTACGATAAATTTCTTGTTTGATGATTTAATGCGTTAACACCCACGTTATAACCGAATTAACACAAATATTTTAATTCTATTCGAAAATTTACTTCACTATATTTTGACAATTTTGCAAACATTAACAACTACATTTGTTAGTTTGCATAGCTATCTAAAATTGTTTAACTTAAATTTTGAGTACATTATGCGGTTACTTGTTTAATCGAAATTACTTTAAATAGGTACAGATCTTTTTACTTTTAGGTTTGTACTCATTTATTTGTTGAATCTGTTACCAGTAAAAATCTGTAGGTGCTACTAGTAATAAAAAATGGAGAAATTGTTGACGAAAAGATTTTTTTTGACGTATTAAAAGTTCTAATGATACAATAATTTGTATTCTGCAGTGACAAAATTTGTTGATAAAATTTGGTTATCTTCGTAAAATACGAAGATACAAACTGCTTACCCACTACACCTTGAGATGTGGGTTCGGTTCCTGCTCTGCCTCTGGGTGTTGTCTTGTCTATGTCCTCTTTTCCTATAATTGGACCTTCGACCTGTCGGGAAACTTAATAAAATAAAGTAAAAAATAAAAATGCAAAAGAAAACTTGTCACAGCACATTGCCAAAGCAAGAAAGAAAAATTGGTCGAACACTATTTCGTCAGAACTTCCCTCGTCCATAAAGTACAGTACATCAAATCCAGCTATTCCAAAAACTCATAAGATTTGATTTTGCGTATTTTCTCTTTTTATGTTAACCCTTATAAGTTAAAATTAAAATATTTTGGAAAAGACAATGTCAATGAAAATGAAATATTTAATTTCACTCTGTAAATATTATACGATTCCAGCAGGTATAACTTGTCTTCGAAGATTTCAAGGACTGTTGGAATGTACCTAATAAGTGTAATGGGTATCTTGGGTTAATATCAAAGTAATTCTTTGTATTACTTAGTTTGTCATGTCTAATTTCTACCTATTCAGCTTGCAGGTTTTTCTTTACAAAGTTGACAGCAGTCGTTTCTGACTCTTGGATCTTTGATGATATGTATTCTGTAGTTCTTTCTGTTAATTACCATATTTTGAATCTCAAACAGAAAATTCTCTGTTTCGCCATACATACTGGATTTTTTTAGCAAAATCAATGACATTTTCTTGATAATGCGATCTTCCTCCAACTCATTGAAGAAATTCCCATTTTTTTTTGTTTTAGCTCATTACTTATGTCTTCTAGGGTGTGGATTTCTTCGATATTAAATAAATTTAAGGTTGCATGGTGTAAGTTTGCTTTTGTCCAGACGTGAAACGCGAATTTAAGTAAATTGGGTAAGTATTTCATAGTCAAAAGCTTTACTAACAGAATGGAAAGCTTAAAGATATCAAAAGTTACAGAAACGAACGTTTTAAAGAGACATTAAGTGAAATTTTAGAAAATGAAAATGGTTCACCCAAGATAGTTAATTCTGTTGATTATTGTTCAAAAGACTGCTTGATATTATGAATTCTTTTTAGTGAATGATTTCTTCTTACTATGTTTGTCACATAAAATACAGTGAAACTTTTTTGAGCAAACGTTTTAAAAAATAGCAACGATTAACGAAATACTTACAATTAAAAAAACGGGTAATGCCAATACAATCACGTTTTCATTAGTCGATTATTTTTGATACATATATTGAATGTTGGGAAGCTTCCATATTCAGAAAATAAGGGAACTGCAAGTTTGTTATCAATCGTAAAGATACATTAACAACAAAAGATAACCTAATATGTTAAACAGAGGCCTTAAAGAAAATAATCTCATTACTCATTATACAAGGGGTACGTTAACAACGAATGAAAAAAACTAGGCTACTATAAGTAATGTATTATTTCCTTCGAGTTTTGATCAGGGAAAACGAAAACAATGTACTTAAGTAAAAGGGTGTTTAATAATTGCATCATAATTAAAGACAAGTATGTCAGCTACATGGACTATTATATTAAGTACTTATGACTAAAACGTACATTTATCATTTGAATTTTCGTTGACACAAGAAAATAAGTAACTAAAATGAAAAATATAGAATCAATGAAAATCTGGAGACTTAAGTTTCGACCTTCTTAGCTTTGATTACTCATCAGTGTAGAATATTTCAATGGTTGTCTAACATTTGAAAGTTAACTAAGTTAACTTTATATCTCATCAATAAAAAAAATGACCTATGAATTAATTTAAACGTACATTCTGTCTGCATAGGATACATTGGATCTCAATTATAAAGAAAATATATATAATATATAACGTACAAATAAAATAAAAAATATGTTACTCAACCGTAAGCAACATTGCATCTTGAACTGCATACCTACCTTAAGTATTAAAAGTAAAAGTACAGTAGGTAGACAGAACTGTGTGTACATCGAGAACATTTCGTATTCAAGTAGGTGCATGCTACAAATTTTAAGTGGATTATTATTATTAGAATTAAGAAAAAAGTCATATAACAAAGTTGTACAGTTCTATAAGGACTAGACTCTAAAACTATTTTTAACTATACGGAATGTTCTGTTTTTCAAGGCGTATCTCAGCCTTTTTAAATGAAACACCTTACATATGTTTACATATTTTTATTGACCTCTTCTTTACAAAGACGGTTTATTTTTGAAATTTCGTTACCAGGTTCTTCTAATTTGCTCGAAATGTTTTTATAAGGAAAGGGTTCACAAAAAATTCGAACAATGTGGCAACCTAGCATCGAAATTTTAAGAATTGAACTGTCTTTGTAAAATCTAAGGAGACTGAAAAACTGGTCTCATAGAATTACGAAAATGTGATAGGATTAGGTTCAATTCGACAGTTTGTATACTGGGTGATTCAGTAAAGTACTGCGTAAATTCAACAGAGAATTATACAACAAAAATTAATAAAAAGTTCTAGTAAAACTATACGATCATTTTTTCTAATAATTAACTACGGTGGAAAGTAATAATATAATTTCAATTATCCACAAAATTTTAAAATTCTCGGATGCCGATATTTTAAATAATTGACCATGCTTTCAGTAACATATTCGCTATTTTTTGCTATATAATTCACCATTAAAATTATGTACTAGTGTACCAACATGTTTAAAGTAGAGTTGTAGAATTTAGTTACTATTCTCTTAGCGGAAATGAAAATTAACCACACTGGATGTCTGAATTTTTTGCATTTGTACTTATTGTTTTTTATTCTAACTCCTCAATAACTATGTAATAATCGTGTATGTAATAACCAACGCGCGGAATTGTATCTCATACGCTAGATCCAGTGCTGGCGCGGCGATAGTTTGATTACAAATATATTTTTTTTTTGGACTATATCAACATAATATAACATTTCAAGATCACAAATCTGTGGTCCTGTGGTTGAAAAATTAAAAAGGGGATCCAGTATTATTATTTGAAGTAATATAGAAGTGGTTTTTTACTAGCTGTAAACACTCGTAGCGACGCACTGGCTACGACCTTGTGGACCAGCTCAAAGCGTCCCCGCTGCTCGCCGTAAAACACACCTTACTTCAACTGGGGGATTGCACCGGTGAGATAATTCCCCGCGTACTGGTAATAACAATTTTAAAATGTGCTCGATAGCAAACATATTAGATATTTACGTAATTGAAAAAGTCCTCAAGTTGACCTGAATATTTTGTACACATTGTAAAATATTTCTACAATAAAGTTAAAATTTAATCGATAACAGCTGACAACGCCGAATTGTCAATTATACACAACGGGATGGATGGACTTTTTCAACTAAACATCTGCTATAAACGAGCAGCAGATTTATAATTTGTGTAAATTTTTTATTAAAAAATAAGTGCTTGCAATGTGCGTTTTAAACACTTTTTTTATAAATATGTTTTGCGATAAGTATGTGAATGCGCATGGAAATATACCTATTTGGTCTGACGAACTTCGCTTAATCGTGCCATAACGGCCGCAAAAGAGTAGAGATTCTTATATATCTGTAAATACGATTTAGTCAAAAAAAAAAACCTCAAACACCTTACCTTCATGCCTAGTTCGTAATTACAAGCAATACCACCAGTAAATCTTAACTTCAAAGGATTTTGTGCATTAATCAGCGATATTAAAATTGTTTTCCTGTTACTCAGATTAAATGATAGCCAACGAATATTATAGATGGCATCGCAAATTGCTTCAGTCTTAAAAATATCGTTAAATTATACAGGGTCATTATAAAATATTGTAGTCAACTCACCTATGAAAAACAAATGAAATTTTTCTCGTGCCGCTAATCACCAAAATGATTTGAACTGTTTTGAAATGTCACGAACGTCCAAACAAATCTGTCAGATGTGTCAAAAATTGAAATGCCCGGTTCGCGGTTTAAATTCATTTTAAATAGACACGAAAAGACGCCAGGCCAGAGCATTAAGGGTTGCAGTGTTATCGGGCATTTGTGAACGCCACTGCAATACATTTCAGTTTCAAAAATTGTAAATTGTCAGAAAAACGTTTAAGGGCTTTGTCATGAATTACACCTTGGAAAGTCGATTGGAGTTGAACAGAATAAATCATCTGGTCTGTTTTGCAAAGAAGCAATAATTTTTCAAATAATGAAATCCAAAAAGTGAGGTTAAGTTTGTCGAAACCAATGAACACGGTAATTATTTAAAAAATTACATTTTTATAGGTACCCTGAAGGTAAAAATTGTGAAAAATCACGTAATGGACAATGGCAGAGCAAGTCTTATCACAGTTAACGAACACTATGAGTACCTAATGAGTTTTTGCAGTAAATAATTTTGCCAAAGTTGTGATCCCGCGAAAGTTCTGTTTGTAAATTGAAAGGAATCGTCAAAATATTGGTGCAGACATGGTTTGTGACCGGTGCTTTTCTCTTGAAAAAACACAACTGAAATCCTTGATCTTCATCCCTACAATAGGTGAAAACTGCTATGTCCAAACATTACCTTCAGCTTTGCAGTTTCTAGATATCTGAAACATGCCAGATCTGCATAACAGGAATGTCAAAGAGGTTCTACCCAAAACACGCCCACATGGCCATCCTAATATCAAGATTTTTCAAAATTTCTATAAGAAAAAAGATGAAAAAACCAATAAAATTTCAGGAGCATAGTGTTAAGAGTTCTGTAGCTGATTATGAGATCTCTTGAAACAACAGAATGTTTAATAAAGATTTTTAACTTTCCTAATAGTAAAATTACAATTATTACTAAACAGTAAGTTGAAGTAAGTTTTAAATCAAGAGAATGCAACTAACACCGAAAGAAAAATGAAAGTTACTGAAAATAAAAAACTTTATTGCAGTACCTACATACACTTTCTACATCTAATTTTGTTTATTGATCACATTCATTTACTTGAAAAAGTATCAGGCCTATGAATCGTCGTCTGCTAACCACACACCAACCTTCATTGCGTGTGATGGTGTTTCTTCAAAAGCGTGAGTATTTTCTATACACCAAATTCTGAAGTTCTGTCAGTTGACATAATAGCCTAACAGATGAAACCAGGCTTCATCAGAAAAGAACGACAAATCGAGAATCCCGTTATCGTCCATATCAGCTTGAAACCAACTACACTACCCAACGCGGCAAGGAAAATCAGCTGGTTGCAGCTCTTGAACCAACAAAATCTTGTATGGATGGATATGTAACTTCTCTTTTACGATTTTCTGACATGGGCTGTATGGTACTCCGGACAGTAAAGATTTTTGACAAAGCTTTATTCGGACTTTGTTCCATTCTCATCCTTAAATCTTCAACAACGTCTTCACTAACTTGAGGTCTCCCCGTCGGTTTTCACTTAGAAATGCTACCAGTGTCGTTAAATCTGGCCATAATTCGCCATATAGCGTCTTCAAAGATTCTTCATCAATGACAACAGAACATTTCACTAGATACTCGTTTTTAGACGCCTCCACAGAGTACACTCCATCCCCATCCTCATTTAACACCCCATTACGGTAATAGGCATGATGATTGCGCCAAAGAACTAAAAAAATCATTTGTAACACTGACCATAGTTATTCCTCTCTGTTCATTACCTGAGATTACACAATGATCTGTAATTTTGATAAAAACTGTTTTTTGAGACACTTATTAAAGTTCTAACAAAGGGGAAGACAGCAAAAATGAAAACAAGACAAGTCAATTAACGCACAAAGTGAGGGAAAAACGTACCAGTACAAACGAAAAAATTATTGACATCTGACAGAATTTGATGAAGCGTTGAAACAGTGCAGCCGCTAATGTCAACTAATGTGGCGCTAAAAATAAAAATTCCAATATTAGTGTAATCCTTTCCACAAAACTGAAAAAGGCGGCACAAAATGTCACCAAAATCATGGCCTTCTTCGACTACAATATTTTATAATGACCCTGTATCACGTAAAATTTTTGGTTTATCTTACTTCGTTTTCTAATTGCTGGCCGCAATGAACGTAAATAATTAGAGTACTGACTGAAGTAAGGCCCCATATAAAATTTTGGAAATAAGACCAGTAACCGAAAAACTTGCTCTAAAACAGATTAAATTGAAAATTTTTTTAAATGTTCAAAAATTGCTAAAATACTAGATAACTAAAACTCATAACACTTAGTCCCATTAAAACTCCCGATGTGGCCATTGTTGGTATGAAATATTTTGCCAAGTCGCTGCCCATGTTTACCATTCTACAATAAAAATACTTAATTTAAAAACAAAAAAAAAACAGTTGCTTACTTTATGAGCGTGTTGATCTTCAAGATCATCTCGTTTAGTCTTTCTTTAACGACGGATTGGTATTCCTCTGATTCGAGTAAATTACTGTCGTCTGTATCTTCATAGTCGTCGACTATGCCTTTAGTATAATCCAGTAACATATACACTTGAAATTTTGCATGCAAAACAAAGTACAGAATGTTACTTATATGCCAAGCGTACTGACACATAGGCAATTATAGGAAAAGAAAGAAAATAAATTCCTTCTATGACGTATAAGGGATAGTATTTTTCGAACAGTACCACTGACAAGTGCGTGTCTCTTTCTTCACCAATAGGAATAATAAGAATTCCTGTTATCAAAACAAGTACCAGATGAGCTTTACCGAAGTTGTTTGCATTTTTTGATTCTCTCAAAATGCGATCTCTTGACTCTCTAAAAATGCTACCTTTTGCCTTTAGTGTAATGTTATGGAAACCGACTTTATAACACTGAAAAACCTCGGCGTACTTTCTCACAGCGTATCTTTTCCACAGTATAGTCGCAAAGTTTATAGTCACCTAGCAGATATAAAATTATGAATAAAAATTAACATAAAAATGTCTAATGTCTATAGTTGCTTAATGGTAAAAAAAACTTACTGCGACCACAGCCAAGTACGTTGAAACGTACTTAATTAGAAACTCCATAGAGAATTCTTTGACGAAAAAGTAGGTGTCAAAAAGCGTCAGGAGGACATGCAGAACCAGTATAAATAGTTGAACTATGATAAATAACCGATTTTCAAATATTTCCAGTCCCAAGAAATAAATAAGCGAGAGAACATCATCTAAAAATATACACTTCTTTATACCATAAAAGTGTTGTGTTGCTTCTTAAATAAATGAATTCAAGCTAATTTGCAATAGCATACCGACATGTAGTAAATAATTGGGTTTTACCTGATTGAGGTTGAAAACTTTTAAAAAATTTGTTGAACATTTTTTGTGCGTGTTTAAACACAGACTGTTTAGTTCAAACTGTAAACTTCAAAGTTACCTGTAGTTAGATGTGTTACGTACTTTATAGCCAAGGTTGGCATTAAGAAAAAATCGATAATTCGGTTAAACATAATAAACTGTTAAATTAAAGTATATACAGAATTTTATATTTTGAAGCATCCGAACATGCGAAAGCTTAACTTTTGATGCCCTAACTTATTTTTTGGTTTTCATAAGGCAAAAAAAATTTGCGTTATTTATAAAATGAATTAACTGGGTCATTTCATAACCGACAACTATCTCTGTTCTGTGCAGAAGTTTAAATGTTATGAACATTCGATTTGGATTTCTCGAAACTTTGACTATTAGGAATCACAATATGGTTTTCTTCACTACTGGCGTAGAAATGCACCGTTGTCATGCTTGTCTATGAGTTGTGTATTCTCTACTAAAGTCAATAATGATAATTAAATTTGACCAAGGTTAATAAATGGTCGGTAGTTACGCTAGACTTTTGGGGATGGGGTGAGATTAGAGAATAATAGCAGACTAATTTGTATGCTGTAATTCTAGAATCTCGAAAGTTGCTCTGTTAATCTAATCAATGCATATCATTACTTGGTCTTAGTACCCCTAATGATAGAAGTCTTGCCTAAATGCCGGTCATTTCCGGGTCAGTGGTGGGTCTTAATAATGGAAGGAGTTATTATTGACCAAGGTCAGTAATAAAGATTGAGGTTATGTAATGCTTGAGAAATGAAAATTGGCCAATATTACCAGATTTTTGAAATTATTTTCTTTTAGTTAATAAAAATTGTGACTTAGACCATGATAATATTAATCAGGGTCGCTTCTGGATAGTTCGCCGTCACCGCTTCGAGCTTGTTTTGGAGCCCGCCACCGAGACTTCCGCAGAACCGCTTCTAGGCACTTCCTTATTCGAATGCCGGACTGGCTATCATCCCTGTACATACTAGAAAACCTATAGGTGTCGTACAGTGGCAGCGTATGGGTTTACTTCGTAACAGCATTTACTTGCTCATAATTTTATGAGCAAGTAAATGTCAACGTGAAGAAATTCAAGCAAGTGCCGTGCACGGGCGTGTTTTACATCGCTCCGTTAAATTCGTATTAGTGCTGCGCTCAAAGTGTTGTGTTTTTATCAGTTGTGGTACCAATCTGTGCATCTCGTGGCTAGTGTTCGTTTAAAATTTGTTTCGTGTAAATCGGCCCATGGGTTCCGGAGTTATTCAATTTTAAAGGCTCCAAAGTACGGCTCCATTATCCTATTAATTGGCTTCTTTCGCTCGTTTCTTTGACGGGGCTTGGTGATAACAGCCAAGTCTCGATAAGAAGCCAAGTTTTTCGTATTTCCTATCTGTTTCGGGGAGATAGTGTTAATACCGGGGCTGTTTCATAATTCCGCGACTTACCGAGTCACGTCGATACTCATTTTCACCTTCTTTTTCAGCGTCTCTCCATCGCATGACGCTAGGACTTGTGGGGACCACTTCGGGCAGTACTGGTTGCGGTTTCTCGTTACCCCCGCGACACTTGGACCCCTCAACCTAAAATCAAAATTTTAAGGTCAGATTTGGCCTTCCCACGAAATTTGAGCGTCGCGAAGCCCCCGACGCGGCACATATTCGGACTCCCGGAGGCCTGGGGAGTCCGAATATAGCATTATCTCGACTTCGACGCCCGCGACGCCCTGTCCAGGAGTGCAAAACTCAGCCCCCTGGACCGATTTCGTCCGCGAAAAAACTTTAGGGTGTATTATTCGATCTCGCGAGCCACTTTATGACATCATTATCTGGAACGGACTCACCGTTTTTCGTCACGACGATCTGGACAATCCGCTTCGGCCTCCAGTGCTTCTTAGGATAGGGATTCTTACAGCTCTTCGCCTTTCTTATTCGTTCCTATTTTCGTCCTTATTTCCTGTTCGGGTGTAGTCGATTGGCTCCTGCAACGATTGAATTTCTTTATTAAGTATTATTATTGTCTCGTTTCTGTATTATAATTTTAACGTGCCATAGTTTATTTATAATAAGTTTTATCGTATTATATCCGTATTGTTCCCTTATTCGTGTTATTTGACAAGTATCTTTCGATACGAACCCTTTATAGAAGTGCCACAGCATGCCGGTGAAACCCATCAATAATAAAAAGGGGGGCGAGAAATCAAATCCCGTCCCCTCACCGCATGCAACAAGTCGGCCTAGCAACCCCCCCCCCCCTACATCTTTAACCAGTTCGCCACACGTCTGTGATCAGTGCGAGAGATCATTCCCCTCTGTCCTGAATTTGGGCACCCATAAGAGGACTTGTGGAATGAGCAAGCGAACCCGTTGCCAATTCTGTAAACTGAACTTTTTCAACTTTCAGGCGGTACGGCAACACGAAAGACGGGCTCACACCGAGCTATACCAGAAGGATCTAGCTGCTAGATTACCTAAGTCGGATGTCGAACTGTTTACCCTAGCAAGAATCGAAGCTTTGGCAAATTTTTGCTAATCACGTTTTGCAGCAGATCTTTTTTTTTTCAAATAAAAACATATGTTGTCCAAGTGATTTAATAGGTGTTTTTTCTGCTTAATTTAAAAGTTCAATATAATCACATCTGCTATGTGTAAAAAAAAGCCCACCACGGGTTTCAAGCATACCCTCGTGCCATAATTTCCTAATTAAGCCCTTAATACATAAATAGTTATTATATGTCCCTATTACATTTAATTTTGCTACCTAAATAATTTACTGTAGCCGGAGACTTTTATCAGCCGCGGAAATTGTTAAAGGCTTCGCCAATTACTTTGAGGGTGTCTATGTGTCAAAATCTAACTGCGGTATTAACAAATGTGATAATATCTGTGACGGGAATAGTAAAACCGTCGATAATAGTAAAAGTAATTCGTTTTGTGAGAATCAACATCCTACCACACCTGGCTGTATGCTTCCTGGCTTGTTGCATCTGTTTAGAATAGGTATCTAGTAGTGATGTGTTCAAGGCTGCCAAACAAATTAAGGTTAACTTTACTGCAGATCCCGGTAATATTCTGCCATTCATTGTAAAGGACTGCATCCTGTTTAAATGAGTCTCTACCATATTTTTACAACCTTATAGTAAGAAGTTATATGTTTCTTAATTGTTGGAAAAAGCTAAAGTTACACCAGAGTCCAAATCAAACATCATTGTCTGTTTACACAGGAAACGACAAATTATCAACCTCTAGCTATTAGAAACAATTTCGCAAACATTTTTCATTGTATTTTAGCAGATGTCTTACGTGGTTACATAGCCTCTCTTGCACGAAGTTATATGAATTTGTCCAAAAGTTGTTAAACAAATTCAATGATTATCTTCAAGTTGATGTAATTTTTACTGAGTTATCGAAAGCATTTAATGTAGTCGATCATAATTTGTCACTTGATAAGCTCAGCCGATTTGTTTATGTGATGGTTTTATTTGCTTTTTGAGGTCTATACTAACAGATCGTTCACAATATGTAGAGAATAACGGTTATAAATCCTCATAGTTCTTAACAACCAGTGAAGTTACGCAAGGGGCCATTTTAGAACCAATTTTATTTAATTTTTACTTCCCGAGCGTAAGCAAAGGAAGTATTGTAATCGAGTCCGTCGGCCGACTCTCTACTTTTACGTTTTCTCGATCTTTCATGACCCCTAGAAGACGAAGAAATAGGTCTCCCATTTCCGTCTGTCTGTCCGTCTGTCCGTCCGTCTGCCGTCCCGGATTTTTATTAGACAGATAATCTCCGAAAGTACTCGACCGATTGTTGTGAAATTTTGTACTTATATTAAGAATATCATGTAGATGGTAAAACGCTAACCAAAATTTGTCTAATCATCCCCACCACTAATGCGATGACGTCACTTCAAAATTGTACATAGTAAATGGGTTTTCAATTGTATAAAATAACATAGTCCTACACATGTAGTTTACAACTCTGAATCGACTTTTCACCCGAAACGTCCAGATTTTTGGAAAAAAAATCAAAATTATAAAACAACATTTTGAAATTTAATTTTTAATCTGCTAACCAGAATGATTTGAAATGTTGCAGATGTTTTAAGGCTATAAAGAGCATCATAAATCTTTAGTCAAAAAATATTTGCTTATCCCTGCAAAAACTTGATGACGTCAGCTCAAAAGTTTGTGGAATAAATCATATCTAAAATGTACAAAATATGATGAGTCTGTACTTGTGATCTATCACTCCGTTCATATTTTTTGGATTTGCATATACAGGGTGACTCAAAAAAATTAATGAATGCGTAAATTTATTTTACTGATTTACTCAGAAACTACAAAACCGAATGCTTTGAAATCTTGCAGATGTTTTAAGGTTATAAAGAACATAATAAATGTTTAGTCAAAATATATTTGCTTATCCCCTCCAAAAACTTGATGACGTTAGCTCGAAAGTTTGCCGAATAAATCATATCTAAAATGTACAAAATATGATGAGTCTGTACTTGTGATTTATCATTCCATTCATATTTTTGGATTTGCATATGCAGGGTGACACAAAAAAATTAATGAATGCGTAAATATATTTTATTGATTTAATCAGGAACTACAAAACGGAATGCTCTGACATCTTGCAGATGTTTTAAGGTTATAAAGAGCATAATAAATGTTTAGTCAAAATATATTTGCTTATCCCCTCCAAAAACTTGATGACGTCAGCCCGAAAATTTGCCGAATAAATCATATCTAAAATGTACAAAATATGATCAGTCTGCACTTGTGATCTATCACTCCATTCATATTTTTTGGATTTGCATAGACAGAGTGATTCAAGAAAATAAATGAAAGCGTAAATTTATTTTACTGATTTACTCAGGAACTACAAAACCGAATGCTTCGAAATCTTGAAGATATTTTAAAATTATCATAAGCATGGTAAATGTTTGATCAAAATGTATTTGGTCGTCCCCCCTAAAAAAATTATGACGTCACCACAAAATTTTGCTGAATAAATCCTATCTAAAATGTACAAAATATGGTGAGTCTCTTCTTGTGATTTATCATTCCATTCAAATTTTTTCGATTTGCATATACAGGGTGACTCAAAAAAATTAATGAATGCGTAAATTTATTTTATTGATTTAATCAGGAACTACAAAACCGAATGCTTTGAAATCTTGCAGATGTTTTAAGGTTATAAAGAGCATAATAAATATTTAGTCAAAATATATTTGGTTATCTTCTACAAAAAACTGATGACGGCAGCTCAAAAGTTTGCCGAATAAATCGTATCTAAAATGTACAAAATATGATGAGTCTGTACTTGTGATTTATCATTCCATTCATATTTTTGGATTTGCATATGCAGGGTGACTCAAAAAAATTAATGAAGGCGTGAATTTATTTTATCGATTTATTCAGGAATTACAAAACCGAATGCTTTGAAATCTTGGGAATATTTTAAAGTTATTATAAGCATGGTAAACTTTTGTTCAAAATGTATTTGTTCATCCGTCCTAAAAAAATTGATGACGTCACCCTTAAATTTTGCTGAATAAATCCTATCTAAAATGCAAAAATATGATGAGTTTGTACTTGTGATTTATCATTCCATTCATATTTTTTAGATTTTCTTAAGAGGTGGTTCAAAAAAATTAATGAAGTCAATTTATTTTATTGATTAAATTAAAGGCAACACTTATTATTAGTATTACACCCCAACCAACCCAATTTGGTAGACACAAAATTTGTTAAAGGAAAAACTCGGTTGAAACATAAGGGTAGCACGCTTATTTACACCGACTTTAACATTACAGACCTGCATTTGTTTTATGCCCTCACTTGGTTCCGCGAATGTGAAATAGACATGTTTATAATCAACCAATTGTGAATTTCACCGTCAAGAATTAAAATAAAACCCAATGTTTTATGTAATAAGCGGAAGTCGAAGCAATAAAACCGATGGTCGTTTTGTTTACAGTTTCTCTGTTTGACTCTCACGTATGCTGTTACGCTTGTCATCTTAAATTAATAATGTTTATACATAAACGATTTTCAGTTGCCTTTCATATTACTAGACAGCGGATTTTTGTCGGGCTACATCACGTTTAATCGGTACTAATTCCATAAATATAATTAACGATTTATTAATCAAACGGCTAAGTAAATGAGAACGGGAATTAACAGCAGAGTGCAACGAAACAGCGTTATTCTAATCTCAAATAAACGAAGTGCAGTCCGCAACCGCAATGAATTCGCATCCCGTACGAGCCGTACCGAGTTTGGCCTTGCCTAGCCCGACAGAAATCCGCTCTCTAGATATTACACACCGACGCCGTATACGTGAGTAAATTGTTTCGTTATTTTATTGATTATAAGAAATCAATATTCAAAACGACCCAATTCATTTTCCCGAAAATTTGGGAATACAATAATTTTATTCTTAGTATTACACTACATCTATCCCAACTGATATACGTGTCCTTGCAAAAATGTTGATGACGTCATCACAATTTTTTTTAAATTCCAATTACAAAAATGTAATGAGAAAAAAAAAACACAATAGGCATGCAGTCGTCAAGTTTCCGACAGCGAGGGACGTACTGTCTAAACTCTTTAGACCAATTTTTTTGTCAATGATGTAGGGCTATTAAAAGAAATTATGACTGCCTTAAACTGCAGAAAGACGCAAATAAATGTATGCAATGGGGTTATAATGTAACAAATTAATAGTTAAATTACAAAAGCATGTTTTTCGCGCAGAGAACAATTATATAATAGTGTCAAAATACAAAAATTGGTTGAAAATGATTTCGACAGAACTTCCCTTGCCCAGAAAGTACATCATATTCCGAAGAATTATTGTATGTATGTTCAAGTAAAGGTAAAATTGGTCGAAAGTTGTTTCGACAGAACTTCCCTCGTCCCTGAAGTACAATGAAACATATCCAGCATTTGCGAAAAATTATAAAATT